GTCCCTGTCTTCTACTGTCACTGTATCTCGCTCTCCCTGTCAACAGAGAGAGACTGTCCCTTATGGACCCAGTCTGTCTGTCCCTGTCTTCTGCTGTCACTGTATCTCGCTCTACCTGTCAACAGAGAGAGACTGTCCCTTATGGACCCAGTCTGTCTGTCCCTGTCTTCTGCTGTCACTGTATCTCGCTCTCCCTGTCAACAGAGAGAGACTGTCCCTTATGGACCCAGTCTGTCTGTCCCTGTCTTCTGCTGTCACTGTATCTCGCTCTACCTGTCAACAGAGAGAGACTGTCCCTTATGGACCCAGTCTGTCCCTGTCTTCTGCTGTCACTGTATCTCGCTCTCCCTGTCAACAGAGAGAGACTGTCCCTTATGGACCCAGTCTGTCTGTCCCTGTCTTCTGCTGTCACTGTATCTCGCTCTACCTGTCAACAGAGAGAAAAATCCAAGTTCCGAGAGAGAGAGAACCCAAGCCACCCACCTAACCCAACCTTCCGATGCACAGAAAACGTGGATTATTTTTTTGAGCCGCTACTTTTCATAGGGCTTTGTAATGTGTTCATGGGGGGGGGGGGCTGTAACGTACAGAATGTGACGTTGTGGTGACAAAGGTGTCTTCTCCCTGGGTGGGCTATAAGGTGTTGTTTACAAAGGTACAGTCATTTACAGGCGCTTGGAATTATTTACCTCCTGGCCTGTACGAGGAGGCATTTGGCACGGTTACTTAAACCTGATGCCTCTGTTCACCTAATGGTAAATAAGTACCTGGGAGTTAGGCGACTGTTGTGGGTTGCATCCGGGGGAGGATCAGCCGTTGGGGTATTAATAAGCCTATTAGGTTCCCTGTCTCCGACAATTCGAAACCGTGCCATTGTTAGGGACAGGAAGCCTGCTGGGCTAAGGCCTGTTGAGCAGCCCGTGCTCTAGAGTAGACAGGCTTAAACTACTTAATCTAACTATCACAAAGTACATGAAACAATGGGTACATATTGGATAAGTTTAAATTCACGAAAGACCTTGTTATACACGGGTTTAGAAAGACAGTTGTAGATTTTCGGAACAAATTACCGGATAACATAATAGATATGGCATCACTGGATTGTTTCAAGCGTAGGTTAGACATATGTATATGACTGAGTTTGGGTGGATATGAGTAGGAGCTGCCGCGTGTCGACTAATGTATCTGTAGCCAGCAAAATGCAAAAAATCTCATCTTTGGTCAAATATTACAGAATATTTTAATTTTTAAATTAAAATATTGTAATATTGGTGCCGTAATTTGGCCAAACTCCGGGACCTTCTGAAAAAATTAATAGAATAGGTCTGGCCGATAGAAGGGCGAATTAATGTTTAGTTAGGCTTTAGATAGGCTTGTGTTCGCTGTTTTTCCCACATTTCTATTTCCTAATATTTCTTAATACTAATCTCAATTAGTATCAAGTTTTAGTCTTTAATGTTTTTCCTGCCCGAAACGCTTTGCGTAATAGTGGCTTTAGGCATTGTATGTCCTAACTCTATCTAGAAATCTATCAATTTTTGTATAACCTCATCTATGTATGTTCCTTACCTGAATAAACATTTGAATTTTTGAATTTGAGTCTATGGAAGCATGTCGTGTATTGTGGGTGTTTGGAGGGTGGTGTTGTATCTGGGGCTGGGAGAGAGAGAGGGCGTAGTACGCACGTGGACGCATGTTTGGGGGGGGGGGGAGTGCGTGTTCACAGGGGGGGAACAAGGGAAAGTCCACGTGCGTGCGTCATGGGATATCGATCGATTTTGGGACAAGGCGTAGTTTCTCAGAGGGGGGGGGGAGGGAATGGGTATTGGGGGTGTCAGATAGGAATGGAGGTGATGGGGAGGGGGGGGGAGAGGTATACATGGAAATAAGTGATACGAAGAGATAAGAATATATTTAAAAAGATAAATAATGAATATAGCCATCTTTGAATATTAAGGGCAGTTAGAGCCTATTGAGACTGCGAGATACGGAACGGAACTATCAGGAGAAAATGCCAAGCTATTACGACTATATATAGCACTGGGAAGGGGTCAGGATAAGGATTTGGGATGGGACGGAGGAAAGGAATGGTGCCTCAACCACTTGAACGGTCGAGGGATTGAACGCCGACCCGCATGAAGCGAGACCGTCGCTCTACCGTCCAGCCCAAGTGGTTGGGCACTGCCAGAAAGAAGCCGTCAAGAGATAACGCTGAGAGGAAGATAACGGCGGACAGTCCTGCCGGCGCTCCGTCTCAACTACTTGTTATCAACACCAGATGTTATCTGATTACCGCTCCCGCCGGAATTTCCGTGAGTTAATGGGTCTTAACGAGTGGTTAGTCACGTGGACTGAAGTGGGCTGTTGCCGGTGGTGGTAGTGGTGCTAATGGTGGTAGTGGTGCTAATGGTGGTAGTGGTGCCAATGGTGGTGGTGGTGGTAGTGCTGCCAGTGGTGGTGGTGCTGTCAACATACTGCTTGTAACACTACCGGGTTTTCCAGTTAACATCTGCTAAATGCAGACTATAAAATTAATTAACCTTACAACTCTTTTAAGATATTCATTACACGAACATAACTATTTCAATTAGTATAACCCTTTGTGGTTGTTTTGAAAACTAATGTATCGCCTGCAGCGAGAGAACGACTCGACAAAGCTCATTTTCCCGCTTGTAGACGACGCCATACATAGCGTTGGGTTAGGCTATACCTGGTTGATGGGGTTCTGGGAGGAGTTCTACTCCCCAAGCCCGGCCCGAGGCCAGGCTTGACTTGTGAGAGTTTGGTCCACCAGGCTGTTGCTAGGAGCGGCCCCGCAGGTTATCCCCATAGCGTTAGGCCTGCTATGTTAGGTTAGATTTAAAATTCTAAAGTCGAAACCACCTTGTGGACTTGTAGCCTAGGGAGACGATCTTCGTTTCAACAAATCAAACAGTCGGAAGTTGCACGGCCCGCTAGGCTAATTCTCTTGTGGAGAGGTTCGTCTCAGACAGGCTGGGTGGCGAGGGAGAGAAGCACATGATCCAACAGATAACTATGAAAGTGAAAGTGGCGACGCTTGGGCTCGCCTGGACCCTTATCACCACTGAGAGAAGGTGGGATGTTGTTGTTGTAGATCTAGCTACTCAGAACGAAGTGTTCATGTAGCACGGGCTATGGTGATCCCGTAAGAAGGTGGGAGGGGGGGGGAGGAGAGTAGTCTGTCCTCCTAAGGTCCCCCCAACGTCAAGAAACTGTCGTAGTAAATGTGACCTATCCTAACCTACCAGAGGGCCCGGACAGTATGTCAATTTCGCGAGCCGCTACCATTTTCTAGTACGACAATTTTTGGTCTTAGGTAGAGAGAGTAAACGTCAAAATGCGACGTTCTATTAGGAGGACGGGTTGAGGAGAAATGGCAAGAATTAGACGTATACAGATAAGGAGAGCACCTAAGGGCAGAATAATACCATTCAACTGTGTACTGAGAAAGCCAAGAGTCAACGCCAGCTAAGCCAGGACTAAGTTTATAATAATTATCAAGAGATAAAACCACAACTAACATTACATATTTGATGCCATATAACAAACAAACGTATTTGATAATATAATGAAAATAGGAAATTGAATATTCTATATTAAAACACAGTCGACACAAATTACACAATATTTTTCTGCTGGTGGCGAGTGTTAGAGTGAAAACCTCGTCACTCTAAACACTTAAATAATTGGTGTCAAATAATTGGTGTCAAAGGGAAAGGTCTTGAGCTCGTAGCCTCACGGGTAAAGCCCGCGCACAGGTGAGCGCCTGACCAACAAATAGTTCCTGGCGAGTGAACGCTCCTCAGCAAACACCTGGCGAGCGAACGCTCCTCAGCAAACACCTGGCTAGCGAACGCTCCTCAGCAAACACCTGGCGAGCGAACGCTCCTCAGCAAACACCTGGCTAGCGAACGCTCCTCAGCAAACACCTGGCGAGCGAACGCTCCTCAGCACACACCTGGCGAGCGAATGGTCCTGATAAACTACATCTGGCTAGCGTATATATCCTGGCCAATGAACGTCTCCCAACTCTCATCTTCTTTAGCTCCACACGTGGCTCATAAATTATATATATAAAAAAGAATCCACATTTCCGGTTATATTTAGGATTGGGAAAGATACTTTTTTTTTTGCTTTTTTTTTACCTTGGCACCCTCACACTTTTGGCCATGTGCGCGTGGTATACCAGGAAGTAGACCATAAAAGGTATAGTGGCAGAGTTAAGAGTGGGAGGGTCAGGTCCAGAGAGGGGGTGAATACCTCTCATAGGAATGTGTGTGTATATACCGACGCATCGGTGCGCACTCCTTTCTTTCAGATTTCGTTGAACTCCATGCGTAATTATTTCACAAGTCGGTGCACCCTAGATATTTGGGGGGAAATTCCCGACCTGCAGGCAAGATGTGGAGGCCCCCAGAAACATGTATGGGAATCCTGAGGAAACGGTTACCTCATTATCATGTGATTCCCGCGCAATTCTCTAAAGAAAACGGGTGTATAGCAGATGGGAAACTTGCGTATATATATATATATTGCATGTTTTTACGAGAAGTTGGAAATTGGGTTTGTATAAATATAGTAGCGAGTCCTTTAATGTACAGAAAAATTTAGAACGCTTTCGTAGATATATATGTCAACATTATTATGTAACAATACAGTTTGCTGATAAAACTATGCGACACATACGAATGATGCCTCATAAAACCTCCAGAAAATAATGTCTTCCCCATGGACAAACATTATCATATTTGGCCACGATTAAAGTTCATCCACTCCCCCCCCTCCCCAAATTAGACACGCGTTTCCCAATTTGAACAGTTTTAAATGCGTACTGCCAATGGACGGAGCATTCCCACCAGACTGTCGCATTTGGCAACTGTGGGCGGCCCGGACGGGAAACCCCAGTGGAGGGGGTGCCGGGGGCCGCCACACTACGCACTCCCCAACCTTGGCCACTGGAGAAAGTTTTGGAAATTTTGGCGATTTTTCTTGTGTAATCTTGTAGATGAGGCTTCGTGTCTCGAAAGGGTTTATGGAGTTTAAAAGCCGGTTACATTATTGTAGGGGATTTTGGGGATTTTTTGAATGTGGTGAACACCCCGCTGGAGTATAATTTGATTGATTTGAATTTGTTGAAGTAAGCGTTGTACGGAGGATAGTATAATATGTTGGGAGTTTAGGGTTTATATATATATTTTTTGGAGCGAGGTAAGGGAAGGTAGAGAGTGATGGTGATGGTGGCGGCGTGTGGCAGCGAGCGGTGGAGTGGCAGCCATTCACTCGGGCCGGAGCTCACACACTCAGTGCTCGCCGCTCTCACTGCTCGCTCGTGGCTTCTGTGCCGCGATTGTGCAATGGTGCCAGTCTGGTGAAGTGATTTAGTGCTTTATAACCCGACGGTGGCCATGTTGGTGCGTTAGTGGCGCACGCCTCCAACACCCGTCATAGTCTCAGTAGGACTATATAGTGAAGGGCGCGAGCCTATATAGTAGTGCCCCGGTGTTATTGATCTTGTGATAGCGTGTTTACATCTCGACTCTATGCTAAGATGTGGCACAGTGGCCAGGGTCAGGGTGGCATAGTGGAGCAGGTCACAGTGGTGCCCCAGCGAGGCGGGTGCATCCCAATTCCCATAGCGGGAGACGAGAGCGCCAGACCCAAGGTTTCCTCCCCTACCACCGACTACAAGTCTCTCTACGACTCCCACAACGACTCGGGGTTTCTCTCCGGCTCGAATCTCATCTCGTCGTGTTTGGGGTGTGACGACAACCCTGCCAGCAGTCACAGTACAAGCAGCAGCAGCAGCAGCGCGAATAACATGCGCTCAGAACAGACGAGAGTGGTTGGGGAAGCCCAGCAGCACGCCTCGACTCCTGACAAGGCCCACACGGCTCTCTCACAAGCCAAACTCGACTCTGGCATAGACATCTCGGAGCAGCTCAGTTCTCTCCACCTCGCGTCTCCCTCCACCTCCTCCTGCTCCTCCAGCAGCGTCACCTCCTCAGAGGCTGGCGAGGCTGAGACCAGCACACCAAAGCCAGCGACGCCTCCACCGCGACGCTCACGTCTGGGCCTCAGCGAAGCACAGATCGCCCTCTTGCAGGAGATCTTCCAACGGGACGAAGATGGAGACACGTAAGAACCCGTTTGGCTATTTCCTTAATACATATTCTCTACATAAGTAATAATGAATCATTTCCGAAACTCAAACGAACTAGAGGGTTCAGTTCCTGAACAGATTATGTGCCTCTGTAATCCTTTACACCACCGCCCACGGGATGGGTATGGGGTGCATATTAAAGAAATTGAATTCCGAAACGCTATGCGTACTAATGGCTTTAGGTATGTACTAGCTTCTATCTTTAAATCCAACATTATGTTTGTAACTCATCTTCAATGTACCATTACCTGAATAAAAAATAATATAAATCTGGTGGTTACCGTTTTAAATAGATGGCAAGCAGCTATAGGACGTTTGTGTACAAGAAATAGGGTTCGGCATAGGATGACGATGCATAGAGTTTGTAAACATTGTTTCATCATGTTTACAAAACTGCAGGGGACCTCTGAATTGGATTACCTAATGCAATATTGAATAAGAATGCCTGGTCATGCACGTTAGCCTTCAAGGTCATGTTTAAAGGAATCTCATCATGTTATGAGTTAGAATTTAAGAATATATTAACCCCTAATTCATGCCACAGTTTGAACGACATTGTGAGGAATTCGAACATCAAATATTAAAACATGTTGTTTCTTAACGTTTTAGAAAATATAAATAATTTAAAGTACAGGTTTATTGCGCGTTACAAACACCACTTACATTCCCCAAGATAATACTTAAACAATTTTAAACGCCAATTTAAAGGATACGTCAGAAAATGAAAGTAATCGTGCAAAGAAATGCTAGTCAGGCGTACGAAAATAAATTCTTATGCATAGTGGGTTCCCGTTGAGGCGGGGGGAGGGGGAGGGGGGGGGTGTAGACGTAACCAGATGTACAGTCGCTCACATTGGACCTCGACATGGGCAAATTAGTTCACGCATTCAAATAAGTAATTATCAACAGAAGGCACCAAGCTGGGGCACTGACTTAGAATCAACGGTGTCTAAACAAAATGACATCAACATTTGATGTACAAATGACATTTGTACATCAACTGGTTGCTCATTAATGCGGAAATATAAAAGAACAAAGGCATTTTAAAGACTCACACAGAGACACAGACATTGTTGTTGCTGACTTAATACATAGCTTAAAATGTAAATATGATATGCAGGCTTGACTTGAGACTTGAGAATGGTCCAGGACGGACCGAAACGTCGTCGTCCCTTCACCTTCTAGTGTGTGGTCTGGTCATCGTAAATATGATAGAAAAAGAGTGAATAGTCTTTGAACTACAGCAGGTCAAAGGGCGGGTCTTAAAAGCCGATACTTGACTCAACAAGCACATCTAAGCGAATAGCTAGGAGAGTACACATTCTAGAATCTAAGCAAGCGATGCATACAGATGTTAGGCTGCAAGTGAAGTAGAACATTCACCCACCAACGTACAAGGACACGCCGCTACGTCAGTTTGGCTCTTAAAAAATGTAAGAAGAAAAGTACTATGCTTCTTGTTACTACAATAACAAAATACAATGATTGGTAGGTTAACAAGCCTCCACAAACTGTTATTGTTTGTGATTTGTTTAAATTGTTATCTTCTAGACCTACGTAGTTATACCCTGTTTAGTGTAAGTAGCTGTGTTATGGGAGCTATTGTAGAAACATAATGATTATATTTGGTATATAGTACTTCTAATTTCTACTTCTTGATGTGCAAGTAAGCAGCAGGTATATATGAATGGTTTAGTTGAACCGTTATGTACTGGTGAGGCCGTGGTGTGGTCTGGTGTAGACCACATTGTTCTGGTGTTGAGGCCCATCAACCTCTGCTCGGTTTACCACGATACCTTACTGACCAACCAGCATGTATACTCTCGTCGAAGGGGACCAAAGTAAAGCGTGTATACCCAGGGAGAAGCTGGTGTACCGCGGGTTCCCAGACGCTGCCTTGGATCAATAGCTGCCAGAGTGCGCCGGGCCACTTCCGCGTAATGTGGGGGAATGTTTACCTTCTGTTTACACTCTGCACCTCCTGCTTCCCACTGTCCGGGACAGGAAGCCTGCTAGGCTTATTGAGGTTCGACTCGTCTTCCCCACGATGCAACCCACAACCCTAGGGTTGATAAAGACAGGCTGTTGAACACAAGGGGAACACGCACTAGGGGACACAGGTGGAAACTGAGTGCCCAAATGAGCCACAGAGATATTAGAAAGAACTTTTTTAGTGTCAGAGTGGTTGACAAATGGAATGCATTAGGAGGTGATGTGGTGGAGGCTGACTCCATACACAGTTTCAAGTGTAGATATGATAGAGCCCAATAGGCTCAGGAATCTGTACACCTGTTGATTGACGGTTGAGAGGCGGGACCAAAGAGCCAGAGCTCAACCCCCGCAAGCACAACTAGGTGTATTTTGTTGACGTATTTCTTGAGATAGAAGCACCACATAACTGCTGCACATTCCAACTTTGGTCTCACAATAGTTGTGAACAATGTCTTTAATATTTGACTGTCCATATATGTAAAATCGATTTTGAAAGTAGAACGCTTAGCATAGGCTCCTCGCACGAAGTAGGTAATCCTCTGGTGACAGTTTACCATTCAAAACCACCATAGATCGCTTTCTTTGGCAGAGTTCTTTAAAGTCTTTCACATAATATGTTGGCTGTGCCTGGCCCATTTTCTCCTATTCCACATACCGTAGCTCGGGAGTCATTATTTGACCACCGATGGTTAGAAAGGCGGGGTCCAAGAGCTAATAGGTCGATTCTGCAAGCACAAATTACACACACACACAAGGAAGGTCTTAGTAAGTGCAACTTATCAGCACGGACAAATAATTCTTAGACAAATAATTTTGTCTAGAAAGCAGTTATTTGTCATCAGCCTAGAGGTCCAGAATATAAGAATGCATCTTTGTTTCAACACGGTTCCTTCAGTAAATTATCCTTCCCCCCCTAGTGGGAAGGATACTTCCCACTAGATCCACTAGCAAGGATATTACTCCTAATAGTGGGCCTCGTAGCCTGGTGGATAGCGCGCAGGACTCGTAATTCTGTGGCGCGGGTTCGATTCCCGCACGAGGCAGAAACAAATGGGCAAAGTTTCTTTCACACTATGCCCCTGTTACCTAGCAGTAAATAGGTACCTGGGAGTTAGTCAGCTGTTACGGGCTGTTTCCTGGGGGTGGAGGCCTGGTCGAGGACCGGGCCGCGGGGACACTAAAAGCCCCGAAATCATCTCAAGATAACCCCCTATTTCATAATATTCCCCAATACTTACCTCCCTATTCCAATACCTGCCTCCTCAAACCGATATTCCCCATTTTTTGTTCTCCCAACATACCCATATCATTTTACTCCTAATAAAGCCTCCTCCCTCCCCCCCCCCATCACCAATTATCCACATCCCCCCCCCCCCTTAATGTTGCGTCACCAGACTTTCCTCCTCAATAATCCCAGCAAAGGATTTCTTGGGATTCCTTGACAGTCTTGGGATGGGGTAAGTCCCAGCCCCCACACACGTCGTCATAATTGAGAGCCTCAACCCGGAGTGTGTTGAAATTGGGACGTCGAGTGTTGTAATTGGAACGTTGAGTATGTGTCTGTAGCCTGGTGTATCTTGTGTGTGTGGGGGATTACGGACGGTGAAATGGGTTTCGTATTTAAAGTTTTGAAATAGGGATGGGTGGATGCTGTATTAGCCTACAGTTGTATGAAGCGAAATTGTTTATTTTTTGTTCAAATAGGGGAAGGGAAAGGGAATTCTTAACATGAGCTATAATTTCTAAATTGGCTTGGGTGAGTTAGCAGAACATGGAAGAATTGTCCAATTACAGGTATCTTGTAATTTTGAAAAATTGTTCAAAAGCCTTCGAGGAAGTTGATCAAAATTGCATTTGAAATATTTTTAAATGGGTGAGAGAAATGAGTTAACTGGCCAACAAAGGCTGTCAGGCTGCGAGTAGCCGTATCGAACAGCCTGGTTGACCAGACTACCAATTAGGAGGCCTGCTCAGAGACCGGGCCAAGAGAACGTTGATCCTCGGAATCATCTACAGGTGGCTGTAGACTAAGTTATCGTAGGGGGTTTAGTAGTCTCCAAAATATCAGGGTTGAGAAAGTTGATAAGTAAATTGGGCTTTGTGATTTGCTTTTGAAATGGGATTAGGCTGTACTGATGTACTTACGAGGATTGTGATTTAATTAGTTTTCCAATTTGTAAAATGCGAGTTTAAAAGAGCGTGAACATTATCAGTCTAGAAAACTGAAATAGGCTACTGGTAGCAATTTGACTTTAGTTACAAGTGATGGTTCCCGTTTAGAAAATGACTTGTAATTGGAATGAAATGTAATAATATGAAAGTTTGGGCTGTAATAGAAAGCGTCTACGTGGGCTGTAATAGAAAGTGATGAGAGAGAGAGAGAGAGAGAGAGAGAGAGAGAGAGAGAGAGAGAGAGAGAGAGAGAGAGAGAGAGAGAGAGAGAGAGAGAGAGAGACAGAGAGAGAGACAGACACAGAGAGAGAGACAGAGACAGACAGAGAGAGACACACACACACACACACAGACAGAGACAGAGACACACACACACACACACACACACAGAGACAGAGAGAGAGAGAGAGACACACACACACAGAGACAGAGACAGGCAGACAGACAGGATGTGGTGATGATTCGATAGGATGGTCTTGAAGTGTGTTTTGGGAAGTCGATGTACTTTTCCCCAGCATTGATAAAACATAAAAAAATCTTTGTGGAATTCACCCTTTTCCGGCGTTGCGTCATCGCGATCCGTCGTCTGTGGTACTGAACCTCTCCTGTGCAACACCACCACACTATCCCAGATGCCATAACACACACACACACACACATACACACACACACACACACACACACACACACACACACACACACACACACACACACACACACACACACAGAGGCCACCCCTCCCCCTCCTACAGGCACCACCGTCGCCACCTCAACCCACAATTACAGCTGTCGCGAGGCTCCTGGGAGTTAC